ACGACACACTGGACCAGACAGACATCACAGATATATTCGGAATATTCCATCCTAAAGCAACAGGATACACATTCTCCTCAAGTGCACTTGGAACATTTTCCAGAATAGATCACATAATGGGTCACAAATCAGGTCTCAACTGGTACCAAAAGATTAGAATTACTTTGCTAAGGCTGCTACATATCAATGAGAATGAACACATTCCTGCTCCACATTACAATATGGATGATTCTCACAAGGATAAATATTGACTGAAAGCAGCCAGATGCAAATGACTACACACATTCAAAAGAGGCAAAACTAACTTATGATATTATAAATCAAGACAATGTTCGTTCTAGGGATGAAGCAGACTGGGAGGGCTCATGAAGGGGATTCAGAGGTGTGATGATGTCCTAGTTCTTGACCTGGATGCTGGTTATACAGGTGTTTGTAAAAATTTACGTAGATATATACTTAATGATTTGTCTACTTTTCTGACTATATACTTCAATATGAAGTATACTTAAAAATAAAAAGAAGTAAGGAAAGATTGAGGAGAAAAGTGATTTCTTAAAAAGTAAATTAAATTACATCACTCTACTGCTTAAAAGCTAACGGAAACTTCCCACTCTCTTTAGAATCAAGTTCAAGTATTACACAGCACATATGTGTGTTTCATTATCAGAAAGCATACCTGCAGATTTCAAAATGTGAACACCACCTCATTTCAGGCTATCTCTCCCCTTACATATTATATCTCTAGCAAGCTAGTTTTCTTTCAAGTCCTTAAGCTCATTATTTTCTTTCTTCCCTTAGAGCCTTTGCATATGCTAGTTCCCGACCTTCCAACCATTCTTCACAGAGATAGCTTCTTTCCATCCTTTAAGTCTCTCCTCATAGAGGTCTTCCCAGTCACTTTATGTTAAGCTGCCTCTTTCTCATATTCTATATTTCTGCCTACTGCACCCTTTACCACAATGTGAAATAGGTTTACTTGTTTTTTGTCTGTCCCTCCATCAGCATACATGCTCTATGAAGACAAGGATGTAGTTGTCCTGTTTTACAGTTAAAGCCCCAAGGTTTACCACAATATCTGGCACATTAGAGAAGTTGAGTAAATATTTTTTGAAAGAATGAAAGAATAATTATAGGTTGTTTCATATCAGTGTAATAAAATTTTTCATATGATCATTATGTATTAGTTATCAATCTCAATTCTATTTTACCTGTACATTTTCTTTGTATACCATCTTTTTATTCACTTGCTTACTCATTCATTCATGAAAAAAATTAAGAGTTTAAGTATCAGCAATAGAGATTATAAAAATGAATAAGCCATGTTCTTTACCTTTTAAAGATCACACCATTTATCAAAGAAAATGAATATGGATAAAACAAAATTATACTTTTACCAAAAAAGTTATTAAATACAAAAACTTAAGTCTAATGAAAACGTTAAAATAAGGGGAAGAAAAGATGAGACCTTTGAAAGAAGTTAATAGTCTAGTTACAGCTATCAAAAAAAGGAAACCAAGCTAATTAGGCATGACTTTTTCTTAGTGAATTCATTTTGACTCTTGGCGATCATGTCCTTCTTTTTGTAAATGTTTACAATACACCTTTTAAATGTACTATATCATAATAAATCGTAATATATTATTACCAGGACTTTCTGTCAAATTTAGCTTCTTCTACAATGAGAGTAATTAGTGAAAATCCCTTTACTTTGATTTATTTTTAGTCCCAATATTTAATTTTTATTTAAATCTTATTTTTTGAAGATTTTATTTATTTATATGAGAGAGCACATGAGAGAGAAGCGAGAACACAAGCAGTGGAGAGGGAGAGGGAGAAGCAGACTCCCCGCTGGGCAGGGAGCCCAAGTGAAACTCGATCCCAGGACCCTTAACCGACTGAGCCATCCAGGTGCCCTATTTAAATACTATTAAAGAAGAGTGACAGTACTGTATGTTTATTGAAAGGGGGCATAAATGAAAAAGGAATGAGAATCTCTGCTGTAGGCAGGCAGATTTCAGTTAAATATAAGGAAGAACTTTCTAGTACTTAGAGCTGCCTACCTATAGGCTTCCTATAAAGCAGGAAGCTCTCCACCACTAAAAATCTTTAAGGATTAGACAATGTCTAATTGGACATTGTCCCCATGATACAGCAGAAACAGTCTTGACTTCGTAGGCATCGCTGTTCACATCAGTGTCTCTCAAACTATGGTGAAGACGCACTTGTAAAGAAATTTCCATTCTGTGGTAAACTAATACATTACAAATTACAAAAGTATCACACATTTGGATGTTACTACAATGTCAAACTGCCATAAGGGTTTCTTTTGACTTCTGTTCTTAACTCGTTGCATACCGGTAACAAATTGGCCCATGTGAACAAGCAAACTATACTTTTGAGTAGCACCGAATTAGAGAGTTTATGAGAGATTAGTGAGGTTCTACAGCTTTTCAAATTTACCTAGTCTGTCTTCCTTTATATTAAGTATAATGTGAACTGCTTATTTCCTAACAATTAACCTCTCTCTTCAGCAATTTAAAAAAGCATAACCTAAAAGATATTAACCTGAAAGCATTAGATCAACTGAGATTTTATCTCACTAAACTGAATAGCAAAATATACTTTTTACCAAAACACATGTGAATGCTCATTTAAAACCAGTTACAAAAAATTTATTTTCAGCCATCCCCACACCTAATTTTCTCATGTTACCTTCTTTGCAAAAACTGATAATGAAATGTGTGATAAATTATAGTTGATTACACATTTGAAGTTCTAACTTTGTTTTACTCACTGGCAGCAAAACCAGAAGAAAACTGACTTGGGGATGAAGTGGGGGTACATTCATGAATTTCAGAAGCATGGAGTAGAGGATTTAAGTTTTTGAAACTACCTATATAATACTCGGTCAGTGCTGACCTGGCCAAAGCAAATATGATAAGGAATTAGGAAAAAGAGTAGACAAAATTAAAAGTTGCCTATTCTCATATTTCCCCAAATACTTCTAGCTTTCTCTATCCAAGGACAATGAGACATTCTTGCTTAAAACCTGGTAACTTCTCATTGAAAAGAAAAGAAAACAAAACAAACCACCTTCCTTCTCAAGAGACCATTTAAGGATTTATGCATTATCATCTCCCAACTCCATCAATCCATGAATACCTTCCCTCCAGTAATGCCAATATTCCTTAATTTACCCTACTTTTTACTAGAGCAGGAGTTCTTAACTGTGAGCTTATGCGTGGGTGTTGGGAATCTATGAGCTCTGAAACTCCAAATGTTTTTAAAATTGTGGGTGAATGACCAATTACATGAACAAAATGTCCAGTTGTTAATACATTCCTAGAGGGTACAATAATCCAAAATGATTAAAAGCATCTTCCTGGAGTGAAAAATGTGATCTGAATAGAAATATAGGGTACAGGTTCTTCATTAATTGAATAGGCATATAAAGATACTATATTACTTAACAAAAGGACTTTAGAAATAAATCTCTTCATTTTGTATAAAATAAAATTGACATTTGGAGAGGTTAAGGGAGTATTCATGGTCATACTGGTAGTTAGAAGGCAGAAGCCAGAGAAAAACAACAGCCTCTGGCTTCCAGGTTCATTCCCTTACATCCTGCTACCTATACAGGGCCAGAATGGGTAACAATAAGCATCCTACAGGCAATCAATCCCACTTCTGATAAATATATAACCTCAGAGTAAATCAAGTAATTCTGTAAATACTACTGGCTCACAGGACACATATTTTCTTTCTTTACTAAAGATATCTAAAAATACAATTTCTCTTAGATACATTTTAGAACTTGCTTCCATCCCAGTAGGCACAATCAACAACTTGTCAATCATCTGAAAAACATGAGTGCCTGATTCTACTGCAATCAATCAGAGAAGGGCATACACTTGACCTGGAAAGGACAAAGGATGTTTAGTAGGAGAGAGAGGGCTTCAAGCAGGCACTTTAAACACATTTCTTTCTGAGTCAATCACTCTGAAAGCCCACAATGCGAAGTAAATTAGTTGAGTGGATCGTTCAGTAACTGTTGAGGCTATTTAGAAATTTTAAGCAAAATCTCTTTTCAAAGTTTAATCTCTTGTTTATTCATACTAAAGAACAGCAAATAAAAAGCCAAAGATGATGTTTAGTGAAAAGAATTTTTATAGTACATAATTAAGTGAGAAAACTGAAAAAGAATGTCCTACTTTGGTGTCAGTTATGATGTGCAAAAATCTAAGATTTGTTTTTAATTTTTTTCAAAAAAATTAGAAAACTGAAAGTCTGTAAATAAGAATCCAAAAAACCCTTTACTCTCTTCCCCTTACCACACCCTTGACTTCTGAAATACAGTGCAACTTTCTACCATCTGTTATTTTAGAGAAGAAACAGTAATGAACATATGGGCTTTCCCTCTCAAGCAGCTGTAGTGTAGTTAAAGTTATAATAATTGTCTTTCTGTAAGATAAATTTACATTAAAAACCTGGCCAGTTAAAAACAAATGGCTCAGCCTCAGAGCCTTCCAGAATAAAATTAAGAAATTTAGAATTATCTATGACATAGTACAGAGATTTAGAAGATATCCTCTAAATCTTATGCTTTTATGTTTAAGGTTAAACAAACATAATTCACGATGCCCATATCAGTTTACACAAGAGTTCACAACTCATGTTTTCTCTTTCCCAGTCAAAATGCTAGGAGCCTCACACAGAGGCTAGGTACACATATATAAAAATCAGTAACTAAGTTCTTGAAAGCACTCATATGAATCCACCACTTCTGTGGGCTACTTAACTTCAATCCAAAAGCTTATTTATTTATAAGAAAATCACAATACATGTGGCATATAAACTTCCATTTCAACTATATATATATATACATATAATTTTATATATATATCACTTATATGTATCACTTACAATGAGTTTAAGTAAACTGAAAGGAATTCAGAGCAGATTCAGATGCACATTTTATGAATAATAGGAATTTTACTTACCTTTATCTGGGTGATTCAAAATCATAATTCTCCTATGAGCTGTTCTAATCTTGGCCTTGCCAGCAGATGGGCTGTAAAAAGAAATTAAAGTGCTTATAATAAATAGTGTCAAATGCAGATTATAAATTAACAGTTTATATGGGTTTCAAGGAATTAAAAACTAATGAGAATTTCACCATCTTGTGGATAAATATGAAATTACAGCTTGTCACTTAAGTCTACTAACCATCAAAATAAACTGTTGACTGATGCATGTATTTTTCTTCCTTTGTAATGTCAGTCTCTTTTTTCAATCAATTTAAAAAATAAAACACAATGGGGTGCCTGGGTGGGGCAGTTGGTTAAATAACCCACTCTTGGTTTCAGCTCAGGTTGTGATCCCAGGATCACCGAGCCCCGAGTTGGTCTCTAGGCTTTGCGTGGAATCTGCTTAAGATTCTCTCTCCCTCTCTCTCACTAAAATAAATAAATAAAACAGCATACAAGGTAAGAGGGGCATTTTCTCTAGACTAGACTGAGTTTGAAAACATATGCCTCAAGTTACCTGGGGGAAGGCAGCTTAAATAGTGTTACAGACAGGTATCCAAACTCCAGAGATACTAGACAGTCAGATTTCATTTCCATTGCTACTTAGGATGGGGTAAACTTGGTCAAATTCTTAATGTCTCTGTACTTCCATCTCCTCATTGTAAACCAAGGCTAGGAACAACATATTCCTCATAGAGAGACTGTAGAGATTAAGTTAATTAAAACCATCAAAGTGTTAGAACAGTGCCTGGAATGTAGCAAGGGTTCCAAAACAGTTAGTTTTTATTAATTACTATATTTCAACGGAGCATCTCAAAACTCTTCATAACCTGTAGTTTATTTAACTTGTGAGAAATGTATGGGAGACGCCCTTGCTATAGACAAAAATTGAGAAAGTTAAATCAACTTAAAATTATTTCAATACAAACTAATTTATCCAGTATTGGAAATGTTTCTCACTAGTACATTTTCCAGGCAAGGAAACAAAATTAACACTTAATAACAACAAAATTCTGGTATTGCTAATTAATAGCTATATTATTTTACCTAAGTTACTTTTTTGGCCTCAAATTGGGATAGTAGCAGCTGACTTAAAGTACAGAGTGGTTGTTGCAAACCTCAAAGTAATTTAATTTGTATGGATGAACCACATTGTACTGGCTATAAAAGCAGGTACTTTTAGAGATAGTCAGACATAGGTTCAACATCCTGATTCCACCATTCATTAGCTGCAAAACTCTGTCCTGCTCACTTAAACTCTGAGTGAAAATTCTCTCATAAGTAAAATGAACATTCTAAACTACCTCCCAGGATTATTTTAAGAATAAATTAGATAATGCAAGTAAAAGGATTAGCATAACCTAGCAGAGAGTTAGCATTGAAAGTGTTCAAAAATAACTAGTCTTTAGTTATTATCATAAAGATAAAGCATGTTTATGAAAATATATTATATTCCCCACTTCTAAAAATATAGTATAAATCACCTAATTTAATGTTTCTTGAATGACTCAATAGTATTAATCTGAGTATAAATTAAGAGCAAAGAAATTCTTAAGGTCTGAAGAGATTTGTCACCCTTAAAGGGTCCTCCAATGCTTTCCATTTAAGTTCCTCTGTCTGTTTTTTAGCACTGCCCCCCTTGCTATCAGCTGTGAACCCTTGTTCTGCCATTATTCCAGTCTAGCTATTCCTTGACAGTTACTTACACTTCTAATCTTTTGAGATTAAATAACAGATCACCAAGCATGTTAAAACACACTATCAATTGCTGAATATGCATATAAAATATTCTTCTGTGAGTAAAAAAAAAGTCTTGAGTCAAAGACAAAATCAAAAGAGAAAAAACATCCTGCGACAAATGGAAATGAAACTGGAAATATAACAACAAATTTATGGGATGCAGCTAAGGGAGTTCTAAGATGAAAGTTTATAGTAAGTTTATAGTAATAAATGCCTACATTAAGAAAAAAGAAAGAACTCAAATAAACAACTTTATCTATGTCTCAGGGAAGTAGAAAAAAGAAGGCTAAACTAAAACAAAGTTAGCTGAAGGAAGGAAATAATAAAGATCCAGAGTAAAATAAATGAAACAGAGACTAAAAAGACAATAAAAGATTATCTTTTATTGTATTAATGAAACTAAGAGCTGTGTTTTTTTTTTAAAGATAAACAAAACAGACAAACCATTACCTGGACTCACAAGAAAAAAGCAGAGAGGACTCAAATAAAACAGAAATTAAAGAAAAAAAGACTTTACAAAGATACCACAGAAATACAAAGGATCATAAGAGACTACTATCAACAGTTATACATTGACAAAATGGACAACGTAGAAGAAATAGATAAATCCTACAAACATATAAACTACCAAGACTGAGTGGAAGAAAGAAAATCTGGAAAGATCAATTATTAACAATGAGATTGAATCACTAATCAAAAACCTCCCAACAAAGAAAAAAGCCCAGGACCGACAGCTTCACTGAAATATACCAAACATCTAAAGAATACCAATTCTTCTCAAACTTTTCCCAAAAATAGAAGAGGAAATGCTTCCAAACTCATTTTATGAGGCAAGCATTATCCTGATACCACATGTAGACAGGACACTAGAAGAAAATTACAAGCCGATTTCCCTGATGAACACAGATACCAAAGTCTTCAGCAAAATATTAGCAAGTCAAATTCAACAAAACATTCAAGGATCACATATAATGAACAAGTAGGATTTATTCCAGGGATGAAAGGATTGTACAACATTCACAAATCAGTCAATGTGAAACACCATAAATGTGAAACAAAATGAAGGATAAAAATCATATGACATTTCCAAAGATGTAGAAAAATCATTTGATAAAATTCAATACCCATTCATGACAAAAACTCTCAACAAATTCAGTACAGAGGGAACATACTTCAACATGATAAAAGCCGTATGACAAATGCATAGCAAATATCATACTCAATGGTGAAAAGCTCAGAGTTTTTCCTCTTAAATCAGATATAGCACAAGGTTGTATGCTCTCACCACTTTTTTCCAACATAGTACTGGCAGTCATGGCCAGAGCAATTTGGCAAGAAGAAGAAATGAAGGGCATCCAAATCAGAAACAAAGAAGGAAAAGTGCATATGATATGATTATTACATAAAGAAAACCCTAAAACTGTTAGAAGTAATCAACAAATTTGGTAACGTTAGAGGATACAAAATCAATATACAAAAATCTGTTGCCCCTCTATACACTAATAAACTATCAGAAAGAGAAAGAAAACAATTCCATTTACAATTGCATCAAAAAAAAAAAAAAGAATAAAATACCTAGAAATAAATTGGACTAGGAAGTTAAAGACCTATACACTGAAAACTGTAGGACATTGATGAAAGAAATTAAAAACACCAATAAATAGAAGGATATCCCACATTCATGGATTGGAAGAATTCATTTTGTTAAAATGCCCATACTATTCAAAGCTATCTACAGATACAATGAAATCTCTATCAAAATTTCAAAGGCATTTTTCACAAAAATGGAACTATCCTAAAATTTATATGGAACCACAAATACTCCAAATAGCCAAAGCAATCTTGGGAAAGGACAAAGCATCATACTTCTTAAATTCAAATTATATTACAAAGCTAAAATATAATCAAAATAGCATGGTATTAGATTAAAAAACAGATACATACATCACTGGAACAGAAGAGAGAACCCAGAAATAAATCCATGCATATATGGTTAATTAACATATAACAAAGGAGACAAAAACATAAAACAAATAAAAGATAGTCTCCACAATAAATGGTACTGGGAAATTGGGACAGCCACATGCAAAGGAATGAAACTGGACCGTTCTCTTAGACCACACATGAAAATCAACTCAAAATGGATTAAAGCCTTGATAAAGACCTGAAACCATAAAACTCCTAGAAGAAAATACAGGGGTAAGCTCCTTGACATCAGTCTTTGCAGTAACTTTTAAAATTTGAAACCAAAAGCAAAGGCAAGAAAACAAAATTAAAGAGCTGGGACTACAACAAACTTTAAAAAATTTCGACACAGTAAGGAAAACTATAAAAAAAAATGAAAAAAATTAACCTATGAAATAGGGAGAAGATATCTGCAAATCATATATCTGATAAGAGGTTATTGCCAAAATAAGAACTCATACAATTCAATAGTACAGCATAGCTAGATACATAGATAAGTAGATCTGATTTCCAAATGAGTGGAGGATCTGACTAGACATTTTTACAAAAAACAGAAAATGTCAAACAGGTACATGAGGTGATCAGCATCACTAATCATCACAGAGATGCAAATCAAAGCCACAATGATACAACATCGCAGCTTACAGAATGACTGCCATCAAAAAGATGAGATAAACAAGTGTTAGAAAGATGCAAAGGGAACCCTCGCACACTGTTCATGGAAACGTAAACTGGTACAGCTACTGTGGAACAGTATGGAGGTTCTGAAAAAATTAAAAATAGAACTACCTTATGACCCGGCAATTCCACTTCTAGGTATGTGTCTGAAGGAAATAAAAAAGAAAATCACTGTCTCCAAGAGATATCTGCACCCTCATGATCCCTGCATTATTTACAATATTTACATTATTTACATTACCCAATTATTTACAATACCCAAGACATGGAAACAATCTATGTCCATCAACTAAAAAAGAAGAAAATCTTGCTATTTGTTGACAACATGAACGGGCCTTGAGAGCATTACACTAAGTGAAATAAGTCAGAGAGAGAGAGAAAGACAAATGCTGTATGATCTCATATATATGGGAAATCTGAAAAAGCAAAACACAGAAACAGAGAACAGACTGGTGGTTGCCAGAGGCAAGAGTAGGACGGCAGGGGAAATAGGTGAAGGTAGTCAAAAGGCCCAACTTACGGTTATGAGAGAGTCCTGGGGATGGAATGCACAGCATAGTAACTACAGTTAACAATGCTGTACTTCATATTTGAAAGTTGCTGAAAGAGTAGATCTTAAAAGTTCTTATCATAAGAAAAAACAAATCTGTAACACTGTGAGGTGAAGGATGTCAACTAAAGTTTTTGTGGTAATCATTTTGCAATCTATACATATTATACATATATCAAATCACTATGTAATTCATCTTAAATATACAACGTTAGAGGCACCTGGGTGGCTCAATGGGTTAAAGCCTCTGCCTTCGGCTCGGGTCGTGATCCCGGGGTCCGGGGATCGAGCCCCACATCGGGCTCTCTGCCCAGCAGGGAGCCTGCTTCACCCTCTCTCTCTGCCTGCCTCTCTGCCTACTTGTGATCTCTGTCTGTCAAATAAATAAATAAAATCTTTAAAAATATATATATACAACGTTATACGTCAATTATATCTCAATAAAATGAAAGGAAAAAATTTTAAATTAAAAAACATTTTTGAATAATAAAGAAGTTTAGTTAGTTCAAAAAAAATAATAAAAAAGCCTTTTTCTGTAAGGACTAGTACAGTATTCCTTTAGGCTGTTTATGTAAGTCGTCTGGGGGACCATTTCAAACTTACTTTTTTGGTTTGCAGATACTTCCCAGATAACCAATCAAGACACTGTCTGATTCTAAAGACTACTAAGTTTGAAAAAGAAGTCACTAAACACTATACCAGGGCTATGAAGACTTTATTGTTTTACTGCCTACTAAGAAATGAAAAATACATTATTTTTTAAAATTCCAGTATGTTTAGTTTCTTGTAGTAAATATACATTTATCATTCTCTTTTGTGGTGCTCTGTAGTATTGCTTTCCTTTATTAGTTATGTTTTCTAGTTGTTCTGTAGACATTTGATATGTCTCCTTAGGTAGACACTAAACTAAAGAGCAGAAGCTATGTGGGATCAAGCCCCACATCGGGCTCCCTGCTCAGTGGGAAGGCTGTCCCACTCCCCCGCTTGTGTTCCCTCTCTCACTGTCTCTCTCTCTCTGTCAAATAAATAAATAAAATCTTAAAAAAAAGTAGTATCTAGTATTGAATACACAATAGGGCTTAATGCATTTTATGCACCCTCCAAAAGAAAATGGCTATTAAAAAGGCAAACTCCTTCAAAGAATAATGGCTCTATATTAGTAAATACTAACACTCTAAGGCATTACTGTATTACAGAAAATTTTAAAGTAGAAAAAGAGGAGCTTTAAAAAACATTTCTTAAAGTGGACCACTACATAATTAAGTTGTAAGTCCAGTAAAATCCAAATCTGCATTCTGTGTGTTTTGGTGGGGGGCGGTTCATATGGTAGGTTGTATCTTATTCTGGATATTAAACTTTAATTTAGCATATGGGACAAAATTTGAATATTATCCTTGATAATTACACCTGATAGATTATCCTTGATAATCACTTACATTGCCTATAAAGAACAGTACATGTGGTTTTGTACATGAAAGTCCATAAAGTATTATTTACTATAAGGTCTGTCAACCACAGAACTAGATAGATTAGAGGAAGTAAGAAATGCAAGAGAATGGAGCCACGGCAATGTATTCATATTTTAAAGAATATTCTCAAAATACAATACTACCTGATTGAAAGAAAGGGCTAGAGGAAAGCAAATAAGGCTTACCTTTCTATTTAATGTGTTAAGTAAGGGTAAATATTTAGCTTCTGCATTGGTGATATCGATGGGAAGAAAGAGGAACCAACATTTATTTCGCACCTGTTGTTTGGTAGGTACTTTTTTTTTTTTAAAGATTTTATTTATTTATTTGACAGACGGAGAGAGATCACAGTAGGCAAAGAGGCAGGCAGAGAGAGAGAGGAGGAAGCAGGCTCCCCGCTGAGCAGGGAGCCCGATGCGGGGCTCGATCCCAGGACCCTGGGATCATGACCTGAGCCGAAGGTAGAGGCTTAACCCACTGAGCCACCCAGGCGTCCCGGTAGGTACTTTTATAAAAAGGTATCCTCCTATCATTTTATATTATTTCAGCAAGGCTAAATCGTATTAATTCTATTCAAAACTGAAGAAACTGAAGGGCAGAAGAGCTAAAAATAACTTGACAAGGCTCATACAATGCGGTGCTTCAGTGACAGAACCAGGAGAAGGATCTGTTTGGTTCAGCTGGTATTTGTTGAGTAGTTACTAAGTGCCATGTTTATATTAAGGATGTATGTATTGGGACAACTGGGTGGTTTAGTCATTAAGCATCTGCCTTCAGCTCAGGTCATGGTCCTGGGATCGAGCCCCACATCAGGCTCTCTGCTTGGCAGGGGGCCTGCTTTCCCTCTCCCACTCCCCCTGCTTGCGTTCCTACTCTCTCTCTCTGTCAAATAAATAAATAAAATCTTTCAAAGAATGCATGTATTATATATGTACTAATCCTCACAACAATTCTAGGCAATAGAAACTGATATTATCTCTATTTTACAAATAATGACATTGACGTCACATAGCTAGTAAATGGTAAAACCAATATTCATAATCATACTCACCTGTTATTAGAGGATATACTCTTAATCTTAATCAGCAAATTATCCTTGTAAAATTTTCTATAGCTTCTAGTTCAACAGGATAAACCTTTATAACCATAAATCTTAAGTCCTAATTATCTGTTTCAACAGGACTGGCTTGGATGATATTAACTGATATTCTCAAAAACCTTTGTGTTCAGTTTTAAAGTAAGTTTCATATTCACATTTCAAGACTATGAATGGAATGGTATGGGGGTCCAATAAAAGTTCAAGAAAAATAACAGTGCCATCCTGAATAATATTAAAGCAAATAATAATCAGCAATATAGCCAACTTCCTAATTTGGTTTCCCTTACCTAAAACCTATTCCCAGTGAGATAATTCATCTCTTATTTAATAAAGCACCAAGCTGAAAGAGCTGTTTCCGTTGCTTTCCACCCCTTTGGCTTTCTTGCTAAGTCAAAAGAAATAATTAAATGTTTTGGTCTTAAAAATATGCTGATCTACAAGAGATTTAAAAGACTATCTTAACATAGGGCTTTATGACCTATTTTGCTTGTTTGATTAAATTATCAGAAGATCTGCTCTAGATGACATACTGTAACCAACCCCCACAAAAATTTAAGTGAGTTCTAAAGGATCATAAGGTAAACAAATTAATATTAGCGACTGGTAAATCTATAGCAGGGACATCACTTAACACTAAAAGTTAAGAAAATATCACAGAGCAATCATACAACATTAACTTTCTCCTACACTGTCCAAAGTCACACAATAAACAGATTACTAAGGTGAAACGATTATAATAAAATATGCTAGATGTCAAATTATGGAAAAAGAATTGTGAGATAGATCCCATATCATAACAGAAAAATGACAGATATCAAATTATGAAACTAAAAAATCCAAAAAAAAAATTCAGTGTCACAATAAGGGATATTTTGATAGTTGCTGTGAAATTAGTATTCAGAGTTCCTTGTTAATAAAGACATATCACGGGGCTCCTGGGTGGCTCAGTGAGTTGAGCCTCTGCCTTAGGCTCAGGTCATGGTCTCGGGATCCTGGGATCGAGCCCTGCGTCGGGCTCTCTGCTCCAAGAGGAGCCTGTTTTCCACCACCCCTGCCTGCCTCTCTGCCTACTTGTGATCTCTCTGTCAAATAAAATAAAAAATAAAAAACACTTCATAAATAAATAAATAAATAAATAAAGACATATTACATCATGCCTGATATTTTTAGCGGGAGTAGGATATATTTTTAGATTTGAGGTTTTAAAATATAAAAATTTTGTATTTTCTCCTCTGCCTCCTATTCATAACTTAAAATATAAGGATAACTTTACTGTAATGTTTTCTCATTTTTTTCAAAACAAGCTTGGCCACAGAACAAAATAATACTTATGCAGCATACCTACCTTATACCCAAAATAAGACTAGCTTCTCGCCTACTCATTTTCTGTTCAAATCCTCCTTTATAGTAGGATGAAAGGCTCTGTACAGGAAAGAAAGAGCATGAAATAATTAGTTCCATGTATGAGGTGGCATGACCTCAATCCCATCATAGCTGCAGTAAGAGTAATGCATTTTACCAGAAGTCAACTTGAAACTGTGGAGGGAGGAGAACTAAACAATGAGCCTTTACAAGAAACTATGACCAAAATGAACGTAAAAAAATTAACAATTTTTTCACTTTCAAATACATTAATTTTCTACACTAAGATAGAACAGAATTAAAATAAATCAGTAGGGGCGCCTGGGTGGCTCAGTGAGTTAAAGCCTCTGCCTTCGGCTCAGGTCATGATCCCAGGGTCCTGGGATTGAGCCCCGCATCGGGCTCTCTGCTCAGCAGAGAGCCTGCTTCCTCCTCTCTCTCTGCCTGCCTCTCTGCCTTCTTGTGATCTCTATCTGTCAAATAAATAAATAAAATCTTTAAAAAAAAATAAATAAAATAAAATAAAATAAAATAAATCAGTAGAAGCAAAAGGCTTGAACTTTTCCTAAGCTCTGCAGTAATTTTCTCTTTGGATAACCTTGCTAAGTCACTAATGTTGATAGGACACACATCTTTTTTACCTCCTGGACTGGCTGATAAAGAAGGAAGAAAAGGAACTGACAAAGTGGGGAGGACATCAGGAGAGCAGACAGGCAGGCCAAGGGAGACCAGCAAAGGACTACAAGGTCACTGAAAGGTGGCTGGAAAGGCATAAGCAAGAAAGAGAGTAGAATCAGAGAGGCAGCTGGGCCAGAATGGTGGAGCAAGGCTGTAAGCAACAGAAATAATTTAGGAGTTTATTCTCAGAGCACTGGAGTAATGTCATCTGACTATATTTTGAAAGGATTACTCTAACTGCTATGTGGAGAATAGAAAAAAAGGTGCAAGAGGGAAGCAGGAGACCAGCCAAGAGGACACAACAATAATCTAGTCAAGAGATGATAATGGTATGCGCCAACATGGTAAGAGCAGAGCTAGTTTAAAAGTGATCTGATTCTAGATGTATACTGAAAGCAACCCTAACATTTTCTTAGTAGATTAAATAAAGGATATGAGAAAGAGAGGGATTGACGATGATGTACTAAACACACTATACACTGTGCAGCTTCCCCTTTGGAAGTGAAGGACTTAACACTTTGGGTGCTAGGGCTATCGCTGGCAGACAGCAGTCAGCTGTCAGACTCTTTAGGAATTGCCTTGGCTGAAGAAAATCAAGTTCAGGTCCCTTTCCCAGAGCAGTCTCTATTTAATGACTGGTTGATATGGGGGTATAAACATTGTAGTTCTCTAGAGCTCAGTCCTTCGACTTCATATCTATAGTTCACTGACCAGGTGATCTCATTTAGTCTCATGGCTCCTTGCCCCAACCTGGGACAACCACAGTGAGCCAGCCGAGCTTCAGAGCTTGGCATCGGGTTGACTGAAGCCTTTGTTAATGACCATACTGCAGCCTAAATTGTCCCTCTGCCCTTCTCCCTTGTCTTCCTTTCTGGAGCTGCGAATCCTAAGAGCACTTCCTAATGAACTACTGTTGCAGGATTTCTATTCCTTTAGTGCCCGCAGTTCTTGGTCACACTGCTTCAAAGAATGAAGAGGTAGACCAGACAAAGAGCGGTGGGCAGCAAGGGGAACTTTATTGAGTGGTAGTACAAAGCTCCCAGAGAGGGAGGGGACCCAAGAGGGTTGCCGTTTTGACATTTAAATCTAGGGGTTCTTATGAGCTCTTCTGCAGAATTATCTGAAGCTTCCTGAGTGTGGGCCCCCTGTGGAATGGCTGCTAAGGCATGACACTGGATGAGATCACCTACGGAGTGAGAGAAGAGAAAAAAGTCCAAAGACTGAGCCCTAGAGATTGCAAGTTTGAGGGGCAGAGAAATGGAGATAAATAAGTCAGTAAGCAGACTGAGGAGGCCTAGCAGTGCAGACACCAAAAGTAAGGGAGGGAAAAACAGTTTCAAACACTTCTGATAGGTTACATCAGAACTGAGCTGAGACCTGGCTGTTGGATTTATCAAAGAGGTCAAACTCTTTGACAAGAGCTGCAGGGAGTGGGAGTAAGAGTCTGATTAGGGTAGATTTAAGAGAGAACAGGACAGAAGGAATGGGAGACAGTAGTACAGACAATGCTTTAAGAGTTCCTAACAAAGAAACAGGATGCGTGAACTCAACTTTTAGAAGGAAAAAAATGCATCAGTGATTGTATTGCAAACATGTTTTTAAAACATGAACCCCTATTTTCGTAAGGAAAAATAAGTAAGTGTATGTTTACATAAAACAACATCAGAAAGTATATACACTAAAATGTTATTTTTGGTTGGTGACATCATGAATAATTTTTTTTCTTATGTTTATTTTTACTTTCTAAATTTTAAAAAAATGAATACAGGCTACCTGTATAATTTTTTTAAAAGGAGAACTAACTAAAAGACCAAGGAAATTAGTAGAACTTAAAAAATGAGCCAGATCTGGTCATTTATATAAGCTGTTGTCTTCGAACAGTTTGTGATAAATTTCTACTTGGTAAGAATTCGCTGGCAATTAATTCACGTAACAAGCACTTCAGCACCTAGTAAAGCCAGGAACATTTCAAATGAGACAGGTCAAGTTTAGTTCTTCATCACAGAGATGATAATCTATCAATGTACCAGTGCTGGGAGGAATATGACATACTATTTCAAGTTTCAAGTAATTTGTAATCTAGAAAGAAAACTAAAAACAATATCCTTCTCCAAGTTGTGACGGGAGGAAGAGAATCAAATTATTTAAGTACACATGGTAACCTGGACAAATTATACACATGCACACACATACACTCCCACACACATAGAGGGGAATATATAAAGGACTAGGGGATTTAACAGAGAAATAACAGATGGTTTTAAGTTTTCTCTCAGCAGACTAAAGTTTTTCCTAGATGCATACCTTCCTCCCCGACATTTCTGTAAGTATTTATTTAGCTTAGGGAGCTCCAAAATTTCAACATAACAAACATGATAAATTGATGTTTCAGGAAGTGTCACCCCCACTAGTCACAATGCTCATTAACCCTAATGGCAGGAATTGTATCTGAGCAGTTGTTTACTTTCAGTTTTGCCCAGGTGGAAAAGGAGACCCAGTACTTAAAATCCAGCATTTGGATAAGGCTCATACCCTAAAACACAGACCTGCTGAAGAATAAGTGAATATGTGCATATCTATAAGGGACAACTATAGAACAACTCCATCAAATAGAGTGGATGATTAGAACTTCTTTTTTTTTTTTTTTTGGTTATACCTTTCTAATAGAATTTCTAAGAACAAAATCAGTACGACTCTACTACTTTTATGCTGCTGTCTATTTGAAATATACCCTGAACCTTACAAATTATTATGTTGTGTTATTCTATTCATTGAATATATATATAAACATACCTCAAAATCATTTTCCATCTAAAATTAGCATTAAATACTATAGTACTATATATTATCAAAGGAAATATGAAATGAATCAAGTTAAACAAAATCTTCATTAGAAAATTTACTCAGCCAAGAGCCAGATATACAAAAACTCTCCAGACAACCAAAGAACTGTATCATTCCATAATCTTAAGAAACACATTTACCATAAACTATAAATTCCTATTATTTACAATAATCTATTTCGCTTAGAGAGCCACAGAAGGATGATTTTAATTTGTGCTGTTTCCACGAATTTCACTTAACCATAAGACAAAGGAAGTCCAATTTTTTAAAAATTATATTCAAATAAAAGGACATTTTCACAAATAGTAAAGTAAAAAGCCTTAAAAGAAGATGAATGACTTAGGTTTTTTTCCCCCAGGGAAAAAAAATAGGGGTAGTTAAACATTACCTGAGGTAATAACATAATAACATATTAAAAATCAAGCAAAAAAGTACTGGTTCAAAACAGAAGATTGCATAAAAAAACTCTCTTGCTTTCTAAAGTGCCTCTGACATGAGAAGAGAGATAAGAGAGATGTTTTTAAAAGGAAAGTCCATTATAGCCCTAGAAAACAAGAGATGATACAAGTAGCAAACCAAAAACTTTAAAGATAAATACTGAAAGGCTGAAAACAGGTAAGACTTGCACATATGGAAAAATCACTACAGCCTTAAACACCAGAGGAAAGAAGAAAACCCTTTTCAGGAAATTAAAAAGAAAACCATACCTTTAGAATCAACCATACAGTAACACCAGGATAATTAATTAAACTACAACAGCAGAAATGACAATTTCTAACCTCAGTAATACAGAGCTTAAGGGGCCTACCACCTGTCATTTTGCCCTTAGGCTAAGAAAGACAACTGCATGTCCTGGGATGTATCTCATTGTGGCGGGTAGGTCCCAATAGAAGCAAAGTAGAGTACTAGCAGATCACATATCAGAACCCACAAGGCCAGAGAGGGACACAGTTATGCCAATGAATAAGATATACATAGTACTCAATGTCTCCTCAACCTCTCTCTGGAGGTCCCAAGCCTGCCTCTTGGCTCCTTGCTTGGGAAGACATGCTATTGACATATCCCATCTACCTATTCACAGCCCACTATCAACCTTCTCATTCAATAAAATTATTGAAGTAAGTCTACCAAACTGCTGAGGAAGGTCACTTATATTAATCAACTTAGTTCTCACAAACATAAACCAAAAACCAAGGATTACCAGACATTTGAACAAATCCAGTATCATGGGGGAAAAGCAGAACAAAGATGAACAAATAACAACTGGCTTTTGGAGAAAAGAGATAAATCAGGAACCAGAAGAGGATTTGTCAAAATTTGAATTAGTATCTTATATCCATAAACGTGTAAGTTGCTATGAAAAAGAAACAAGAAAATTTTCAGATATTAAAATATTACTGATATAAAAAATTTAGCAGATGGACTAAATAAAAAAATGGTCACTGCTAAAAACCAATTTGATGATCTGGAAAATAAGCTGTGGAAATACTGTGGAATGTAAAACAAAAAGATAAGAAGATGGAAAACAGAAAGAAAATGTTCAGAGACGTAAAGGACATACTCAGAGGTCCAATGTGTCTCTAATAAGAGTTCCAGGAACAGAGAAGAGAGACAATGGAAGGAAAAAAATAAAAAACAGTCTAAGAGAATCTTCTAAAATAAAAGACAGGCAATTTTCACTTAAGTCTCTCTAAGAAGACCTGTGAAATTTCAGAACATCAATAATAAAGAGAACCCCCCAAAACTTCCAGAGTTAAAAAACAACCAAAAATCACCAAAAAAACCCAAAAGCATAAAACACAAACAACAAAAGAAAACCAAAAGAGGCAGCTTACAAAGGAGTAAGAATAAGAACATCAGAAATTCTGGCTGAGAGCCTTGAGTGTACCAGAAAATGTGGCTAAGAATATGTAGGAAAGCATGTACGTGGGCACTGAGGTTCATTTAATCTGAGCAGAGATTTTTTTTTTTTTTCCTAAGTAATCTCTACCCCCAATGTGGGGCTCAAACTCAAGACCCAAGATCAAGAGTTGCAGCAGGCTCTACTGACTAAGCCAGCCAGGAGCCCCCTGAGCAGAGATTTCTATACTCCTCTCATACTGGCTCCATCAGATTCCAAAGAGCCAGCAGCTAACTGATGATTAATGGTGAGAGCAAAAGAAACAAGTTGTTAGCAGAGAAGAACTTAAGACATTTACCATCCACCATCCAAATCCCATATGAAAAAAATTACTCCAGGCAGTATTCCAGAAAAATGGAGGGAAAAAGGTATGAAAAAACAAAGATGAGATTTAAGAACAAGGTGATGTTAAAGCACAGAGAAAGCAAACTTCACAGAAACTTGAACCTTGCAGGCTTTCTTTTGAGTCATAGAGATTTAGTGGCCCATGATTACAATACGCATTTTTTAGCAACTCTATTTGGTTTTATAATGAATCACACTTACAACATCAAAACACTGTAAATGCCGTGTTTTGTGAAGTTTGACAATTTGAAATCATTAGTGCCAAGAGAAAGTATGTATATATTTATTTCTCAGTTTCCCTAGAATTATTAATATTTCAAGAACTGTTTAAGACGCTCTTATCGTCACAGCGGTATAACTGTGATGACAGTGATGATGATAAAGATATTTTACGAAATATTTTCACTGCAAATGGCAGGAATAGTACTTTGTTGGGGCGGGGGGGTGGGGTAGGGCCAGATTTATAGAACAGTGTTCCTTACCTCAGGCCCACAAAGGTGAAGGATAAGAGGGATACATCATTTCTCTCTCCTTAAGAAATGCAGGTACCAAGTTCAGTATACCCATGACAATCTCTTAAATTATTGCACCTTATCCATGAGCCTCCACAGAGCAGGGAAAATTTCCTCATTTTCTTGCTCTCTCTTCCTGTTTGTTTAATGATGTAGTTCTACAAAACTTGTGAATCTTTTATTTACAATATAAATATATCTATTGAAGATCACCTTAACAGAAGAGAAATAATTTCTGAAATTTTCTCCATTCGTTATTTATAAAAACATATGGAAAAAAATAAATAACAATCCATTAAAGAACTATGCTACTATTTCCATTCCTGGATTTCAAGCCACCATTATCTATTACCTGCACTATCTCAATACCCTCTTACTGGATGGATAGCTTTTACTCTGGCTCATTCTTGTCTACACTCCACTGCAGGCAAAGTGATAATCTAAAATGCAAATCACATTGCCTCCATGGTTAAAACCTTCCAAAAGCTTTCCTTCCATTACACTGTAAGTAAAATTTGCAGTTTTTATCTATAATCTATGGGGCTTTAAATGATCTAGGCCCTACTCTACCACTATTATCTTTGCATACTCCTCTGGAGTTATTCTTACAGCAAAGCTCATTTCCGCCTCAGGACCTCTGCTGGGTTCTCACTGCTTGGAAAGAGAAATTCACCTGGCCAAGTCCCTCATCTTCTCACAAAGGTCTTCCCTGATCCATCTAACACAGATTCCTCACTGCTGTTACTCTTTAATCTCTTACCCTGCTTTCTTAAAAGCAGTCAACACTTCTACATATCATGTATTTTACTTATTTACTTGTTAATTGCCTGTGTCCACTAAAGTGTATGCTCCTAAGGGTAATGTCTTTATATGGTCCCTGACCATAGCCCACTCCCCACAATAACGTCTGGCATGTAGTAAGAGTTTAATGAATATTTACTGAATGAATGCTAAATACCTATTAATACTGCAGCCAAATAAAATATAAATAGGAAAACAGAAGGAACTCCCCCCCCCCACAAAAAACATGTTCCCTCTAATCACAGACATGCATTTCTAGGTCTGCAAAATCACTTGCACTTCTTCTGAACCTGAGTTTAATTACTTGTCAGTATGTCATCCTTTGAAAGTGTGGTCATTGCTCATGACTAACTAAGCCTCACAAGCCTATAATGACTTTGCTAAAAAACAAGTCATTCATTCTCAGATTGCTGCAAGCCAAGCTGATCTATCCCAAGTTGATCCACTTCTACTGCCCAGAAGTCAATGTTTATGCTGTAACGCTTCAGTGAGTTTTCTTTGCATTACGTCCAGTGGTTACAAACCAGTTCACTACACTGTAGCTTTTCAGATACCTACTATCACTCATTCTTCACTTATATTCAGCTCAGAGAGTAACTATAATGCCTGTAGATGAATGTAGAAATCATACAGATTTCAGAATTAGATTCTTCTAAGTTTGTGTTTTAGATGACCAGGTGGTGGTACAAGGGGACCCATTTCAAATTTTAGGATGAAATAAACTCCTGAGTAATAAACTCCCATCAGGGCAGGGACCATATCTGTTTTGTTCATTAACTATACCCAGCTTCTACCACAGGGATTAGTATAGAAAATCACTGCAAGAATAAATTAGTATTAATTAAACAAAAACAATAAATTACCTCAAAGTTGGTGTGATACTACTAAAAGGAATATAGTAATTAGATGTCAAAACAGGAATGAGGTTAGAAATAAAAATAATGTGACCAAGAAACTAAAAAAATCAATAAATTAAACAAACTGTCCAAGGATATAATGAAGAAAACTACAAATGTTGGAAAATCCAAGACATTTTCTGAATTACTATCAAATATGGCATATAAACAAAAATCAAAATGAGCCTTCTAACTAAAGCCATCTTAAACTCACAGGAGTGGAAATCTTCTTTGCTGTTTCTGTGATTACTTGTTCTAGAGGCTTCCAGATCTGAAACACGTAGCGACCTAAATAATAAAGGAATAAAAGCAAACATATTTTCTGTAATCAAACACAATACCCACAAGGTACTAACCACAATATTTACTGATAGCTTCTTCTATATATGTTATTTCAACAATCATTTCAAAATCTACCAGAAAGTCCTATTTTTTTCTTTTATTAAATTTTATTTTATTTTTTCAGTGTTCCAAGATTTATTGTTTATCCACCATACCCAGTGCTCTAATTCATGCCCTCCTTAATACCCACCACCAGGCTCACCCATACCCCCATCCTCCTCCCTGCAAAACCTCAGTTTGTTTCTCAGAGTCCATAGTCTCTCATGGTTCATCTCCCCCTCCGATTTACCCCAATTCACTTTTCCTTTCCTTCTCCTAATGTCCTCCATGTTATTCCTTATGCTCCACAAGTAAGTGAAACCATACGATAATTTACTTTCTTTGGTTGGAAAGTCCTATTATTTTCAAATTCTAATTTATTAAATAGAGGAAGCATTTCATTTTAACATAATTAAAATAGTTCCTAAATTTATCAAGTTCTAATTCATGATTATAAGATTAGAAAATGTCAATGTTTATGTATCTTACACATATACAATATACTAGGTAACAAAAAAATAATATCCTAGTATTCTTTCTGCCACAAACTATAGATAAAGTCCTCTCACGTATGTATATTCACACATCTGGTTATTTGTACTGGTTTTCTCAGTGATAATCACTTTGAAATATATAGAAAACAAAAATTACTTATGATTTGTACAAAACAGGAATAATTTAATGGCGTTACCTCTAAAGTAAAAAAGCAGTTATGTAAAAAATATTCACCAAAGATGTTTTCTGTCAATTTCTCACTGAGGATGACTATTCTCCTAAGAACATATTTTATTTTGGTGCTTTCTTTTCTTAGGTATCCTATTAATTAAAACTCCTCTGAGTCTTCAATAGCAAAACAGGTTCCAAACTGTTTCAAGGGTATAAAACAAAAATAAAATATTACCTGGCCAATTTACCTTTTGTACCCTAATCAGCATATAGATCTACTAATAGTATTGTCTTTCTTCCCAAAAGTCTTGCTAGAAAACCCATTATGACACTCTGGACTTTATTCATTTCCAGCCATAACCTTCTTTGCAAATCAAGATTTCCACTGGGAGAGTTCAATTATATACATCTTTTAGAAAAAGTTACCGTCTAACCATACTGTTATTCCTGTGCAAACAACATTTAAAAATGAAAAACAGGATGCTAGAAATGGAAAATGGGAAGTAGTCAACCCAAGCAGAAGATAAAAAAATTCTTGAGATCAAGGAGAACATTAAATAAATTAAACAAGTGAAATTAAATAACTAAAATAAGTGAAAGCCTAACTCCTTCAAATCTCTTATCCTAGAGATTTTTTTAAAATTTTTTATTTTTTTATAAACATATAATGTATTTTTATCCCCAGGGGTACAGGTCTGTGAATTGTCAGGTTTACACACTTCATAGCACTCACTATAACACATACCCTCCCCAATGTCCATAATCCCACCACCCTCATCCAACCCCCCTCCCCCCAGCAACCCTAAGTTTGTTTTGTGAGATTAAGAGTCTCTTATGGTTTGTCTCCCTCCCGATCCCATCTTGAACTTCCATCTGATTCTACAATAGTACAAAGCATACCTTTTAAATTACTTCGGAATTCCTTTAAAAGCACATACAATCAGGCAGTCTCAATGAAAACAGCAAGTAAGGCCTTCAACAAGTGACATCTGGAGGTTTACTTGAATCATAAACCAGAAGATCTAGTTCCAAAGTGTACTTTCTCCTAAATTCTATTATTCAGTTATATTTGGCTCTGGAAGAGATCTGCCTGCTACTTAATATTCAAGTTAGTAATAAGAACTTGGCAACAGTGTGGTATATATACAATACACATGCCAGTTCTTCTCATTTTAGAAAGAAGAACCTGGCAGAAGTACAGCATTTTTCTTTAATTTCAAAAAAAATCTTACATTTGAATTTAAAATAACTATGTCAATAATAGTTAATACTGTAACAGTTAGCACTACAATTGTTTCATGTTTATGGGCTAATTTGTCAGAATTCCTTTCTGGACATTAGAGTCTCCTCATGAAACGTCAGTATAGTTATAATGCCAAGACACAAGACCCTGATGGCACAAAGACCAAGAGAATCTGAACCACTGATCTTCTTGATTTTAAAGCATTTACTGTTAAGGTGCTTTAAAAGAGAGTTGTGTGAAATTAAGTACCATATAAAACAAAACAACAATTTTTTATGTCTCATTTTTTTATTGGATATATACCACAATGGTATGTAGCTTCACTTAAGAAGAAGATCCAAGAAGCAAAATCAAATCCATGGAACTTGAGATACAAATGCTAAAACAAAAAATGTAAATCTTTATCAACAAGGAGATGTTCTCAGAGAACATATGATTAGGAAATAGCTATGTAATTTAAAACTATAAGTTAATGCCTAGAAGAGAAAGCAATTTTTGCTTTAAATTTTAATATCTATTCTTTGGTGATTTGGGCAGTAAAAGAAATTCTCTTGAGTTTATGAAAGAAATTACAGCAATGTGTTAAAAATGAAGTTACTAATACATTGCAGGGAACTATGCTCATCAGAACAAGCAACAGCTCAGGAAATGTGTAATCTAATCCTGCAAAGAAAAAAAAAACCAACATGGGAGATTAAAGGAACCCTATATCACTTACACTGCTTCATATTAAAGAATTTCTTCAAAGTATACTATTGCTCAAACTAAAAAAAAAAAAAAATGCCAGGAAGGTCAACTACTATTAGGGCTAGTTTTCCTAACTTCTACTCTGTTAATTTTCTTCACTACATGGTTTACCTAGTTTTTGCTACATTGACAAATGTTCAGTGACTATACATGGAGGAAAAATGAGAATGTAGGTCTTAAAACCCAAACCTCAGAATACAGAGGGTCTCCTCATGAATCACTATAGAAACTATTTGAAAATATTTCTCCTGCAACATTTATTGATAAGTTTTCTTTATTTATCTTACCTGCAAATGCAAGAGCCGCAACACCCAGTCCTACAGCGATCAAACTTCTTGCCTATGAAGGAAAAAATGATTATATCACTTATGGTCCTACACGCTAGCTTTTTTAAAGTAAACCATTTTAAATAATGAAAATAATTATTTTAAATAATGAAAATAATTATGTTAAATACATTTTCCTCAAGCTCTGCTGTGAAGATGAGAATTTTTTTTCATCTGCAGTGTCTATGGGATTCTACCTATTGTATACTATATCAGTTAATTTTCAGTGAACTAAAATCATTCTAGATATCATTTAATTTCCATATATTTGAATTCATTCTACCCAAGAGTTTGTATGTCACCTATTGGTAAAATATTTTCTGTAGATTACTCGTTTTTAAGATTTTATTTATTTATGTATTTATGTATTCATTTATTTTGGGGGGTGAGGAAACAGAGGGAGAAGGACAAGCAGACTCCATACTGAGCACAGAGCCCAACATGGGACCCGATCCCACAACCCCAAGATCCTTACCTGAACCAAAACCAAGAGTTGGATGCTCAGTTGACTGAGCCACCCAGGCACTCCCGTAAATTATTCTTAATAGTCAGTTAAATATATTTATCTTCTACAAAGATAAAAAGCACATATTTCCTTAATATTTACAATGCTCAATGGCATTTGCTATATTTAAAATTTTGACAAAACATTAGATCCATGTTTAGTAAATAAGTCAACCTGACAATAGTTAGTAAAAATTATGAATAACTTTGGGGTGCCTGGGTGGCTCAGTGGGTTAAAGCCTCTGCCTTCGGCTCAGGTCATGATCCCAAGATCCTGGGATTGAGCCCACATCAGGCTCTCTGCTCAGCAGGGAGCCTGCTTCCTCCTCTCTCTGCCTGCCTCTCTGCCTACTTGTGATCTCTGTCTGTCAAATAAATAAATAATTTTAAAAATCTTTAAAAAAATTATGAATAACTTAAAAGTTAATTTCTACCTTTCTAGACCAATGTAAAAATGTTTAAATGAGTCAAGAATTCATAATATAAAATTATGAGCTCATTCTGATAAAAATCTACTTTAAATTGGTTATATACTTCATATTATTTTAGGCTTTTCTCCTTTACCATCTCAGAAAAATATTTCAGTCACAACAGAAAAGGTTTATGTAGCAGAGATCAATGTTTCCCCCCAACATCCATTCTCCCTTTGTTCTCTAGGATCAGGAGTTCCTATTTTTAGCTGGACATATTTCTAAGCCTCTCTTAGACTATGCTATGTTAACTAAGTGTTGGCTTTTAAGATAATAAGCAGGGTGCTGGTATGTGCAACTTCTGAGAAGCCCTTCGGGGACAGGGGAAATGTCCTTCTTGAAAACTTTTCCATTCTTGCTTGCTGGAAATGTAGACATTCTTCCTGGAGCAGATCTTGGATAAAGAAGGAAAAACAATGGGTGAAAGGAGGCTGTATCCTAGATTATCACGGAGCTGCCACAGCACCCCTGGACTGCCTTTATTTATGGGAGATAATAATAGAATTCTAGCTTCACAAGCCACTATTATTTCCAGGCACTTGCAACCAAATCAAATTTTGATGATACAGAATTAAGTAGAGACACCACAGAAATGTTCTGTCTGATTAATGGTGAGAGAGGTAAATCCACAAGATCCAGGAAAGACCATCAAGAACAAATCCAGAATAGTCTCAGCAGGGAACAGAATGGATTCATCTCACATTGGTGCATAAATAGTAAGATGGAGGCTGAGACCAGAGGGATGATAAAACCAAAAAGCCCTGCAAACATCTACAAGTCTACAAGTTCCGTGAGGGAATACAAATCTCAGGAAATCAAAGCCCCAAATCTTCAGGGGAAGATTTTATCATGAGAAACACCAGGAAACGAAGAGCAGCTGTATGAGATGCTTTAACTTTAATATCCAGTAGCTCTCTCTTAGAAATCTAGAGCTCTTCATAGACAAGATGAAGTTTAACTATAGTTCTCAGTTCTAGTTCTAAGATACACCTTTCACCAGGCAGTACACTGGCACACTTTAGGAAAGGAAGATTTTTTTTTCCCTGGCAGAGGAATGGAAGCCTAGAGCTAGCTATAGAGAGAGGCAAAATAGTTCCCGAAGTTCCTTTTAGGTTGTCTAGACAGGTTGTCCTGAACAGAAGGGAAGTGAGTACTGATTTAAAAGAAGATATTCTCTTGAGGTATATTTTTGCTATTTTCTAGAGCTTCTCTGAAGCTATATAGTTTGAAATTTTTCAGTCTAATCTTCCACTGGTTCACTTCAATGAACTTCAGTCCAAACAAACTACTCAACTATTTCATGTGTGAATTTATTTTCCTTCCTTAAACCTTGTTTATTCTTTCACCTGACTAGAAATATTTTATCTTTGCCTACCCAGATAGGACTTGTTCTTAACACTTCAGCCTAAATATGCCATAGAATGGGAGAAGTCATTTGTAACACATTACAATGAGCACATATCCAAAGACATATATAGAATTCCCCCACATCAATAATAAGTAGAGGGACAATCCAATAGAAAAATGGGCAAAACATCAGGAGCTTCATAGAAAAAAATCTAAATGGTTAAACCACATAAAAAGTACTCAACTGAAAGAGTAACTAGGAGATACTAACAACAACAACAACAAAATGGCGCTGAAATATTAATACCAGCATATAAAGATCTCTAGCCTTTGTGGAACTGAGGCTAGATCCTAAGCACCAAGGATCCCTACTGAGGGATCCTAAGCACCAAGCAACAGTATCTATACTTCCGAGGATTATTGTAATTATAAAATATAATAATGTATATAAAGGACTTAATATAGTGGGTTGGCACATAGTAAATAGTCAGTAAATGGGAACTGCTTTTAATATTATCAATAAAAATAACTAGCTATTACTGAATATAAGTGGTATGACAGAAGTATGAATGGTGTTTTGTAAACACTGAAATCTGTCTAGAGGAAGATTCATGGAAGTAATATTTGAGGTAGACCCTCGAAAATGAATTGATCTTTTCTAGATTAAATAATCCCAATTTTCACATTTCAAAAAATGCATATTTAAAAAATACAAAGTCTTGAAAAGTTGAGTTAGTCTAATTTCATATTTTTATAGATTAATATTGTGTCATTTTTATGACTTCAACTACTCAAAACACAAATAGCTGTCTCTACAATTCCAAAGAGATTTTAATTTAAAGGTATTTATATCAGAAACATTAAAGCACTAGGCATTTGGTCATTTTCCACTTTTTTTTTTAATTTTTTTTCATTTTTCACTTTAATACATAAACCTAAACTGTGTTTAGACTTTCTTTGTACTTCTGTCTTCCCTTATTTCTAAAGACCACATTATCCAAGTCCTCACTTGCCCTCTAGTTTCTGGGTGGGTTTTGCCAAGGAGAGGAAGTGTCAAAAAGAACACCAAGCATAGGTTACCAATAGCAGGCAGGACTCCAGACACTTCTGCCTTCTGCATCTTGGTATCAAAGTTGCCAAGGAAAACACTGTAAAGTCAAGCACTGGATAATGCTTTACTTACTTAAAGAAGATAAAGATCAGTTCTAGTTTTATGCATTAGTCCCTTATGGCTAGTGGGTGCCCCCAGCAGTTAGCTGACTAAAGGAAATGGGCCTACAAGCACCACCTCTCTGGTGGTATGAGGGAAGGACCTTCCCCCTCCCTACCTCACACTGTCTCTGGAGTCTGAAACACTGAAATATCTGAAGGCATATGTGAAAGCCATTGACTATGCTTAAGCGGAGCAAAGAAACACTCAATAAGCCTGAAACCAGAAAAGATAATGCCACAGAGGTGGGAAATCCAGCACAGGCTATATGAGGTCCTCATCTCTTGGTAGGGAAGAATTCTGAGCCCCAGGCTCACTTTTATGTGGCCAACTGGGACTGAATACTGTGCATAAGAGACAGTCCTTCCCAACAGGAAGCATTAGCAGAAAAGCAAAAGGTAGAAGGAGATAGAAGTAATGGTACAATTTACTCCCTTCTATGCTTCCTCTTTGGCCACAGCTCCTGTTAAAGGGCTCCTCTTCCAAGCCTACAACTCTCATTGGGTTCTGGAACATAATTCTCATCCTCTTGCCCCTTTCTCTGGGTGGATAAGTTTCTAACCTTTGCCAGGCTCTAGGGGATTCATCATTCATTTCTGGTTACCTTAAAGCATACCCACCTCTACTAATAATCCCTCCATTAAACTATCTTCAAAAAAACCACCATTACCACCAGACTCTCACGAATACACACATTACATACAGCAGTCACTATACTATGAACAAGGCAAAGGCCTATATCAAATGAGTCCAATGGAGGACACTGACCATGATGGGCCTCTAGTGTTTTCTTGAATCTCCCAAAGACCTTTTAGTTTTACCCTTATTACAAAATTACACTAATTAATAGTTAAATGTGTTGTTTCCTTCAGCTTTTCTAGATATCAAGTGTCCTTTAAAAATCTAATGAAATCTATGGATCACCCCAGAAAACCACAAATACATACACACAGCAAAATTTTTATATAGTTTGAAGGGATCCAAGGGTTTCTCTGAAGATTTTCAGTTTACAAGTCCCAGTATGAGACTCTCTGTAAAAAATATATATAAATAAAGAAGCTCACTAAAGTAAAAAAGAGATATATTTGAGCTCCTAGAGCACATCAGAAACCTGCCATGTAATTTCATTTTTCATTCATTTAACAAGAAAAATATTAATAATACAACAAAATAGTAATACAAGAAAAATAATGTTGATGCCAGAGTTAACCTCTATTTCTAAAGATTAACGTTACACAAAGATAAACATGAAAGGCCTTGCAACCTTTAAAAACAACAACAAAACCAAACCCAGATTAGGTAGATCACTGGAGCAAATAAAAATATTCAATATATTACCAAAAACTGTGCAATCAAGTCTTATTTATCCACAGTGAATGGACAAACTATAGCACAGCTCATCAAAAACTCATTCTCCTTAATGGGATTAAAATTCCTTATTGGAAGGTGTTATATCTAATTTACCTCTTTAACGGTATTTGC